TATATATATATATATGTGTGTGTGTGTGTGTGTGTGTGTGTGTAGTATATATAGATATAGAATATTATATATAATATATGTAATATTTTTTTTTACTTTTTTCCCTGTCACGTGACTTTAGTCACATGGTGTTTGTCTACTCTTCCTTGTCACGTGTTGGTTTTTTATTCTCTTCTTTTTCTTTTATTTTTTGAGTTTAATTTTCATGCTTTATTTCTGACATCTCTCATATGTACATCATGTGTATTATATTGTTTGTAAGACGTACATATTAGCTGTGGCGGTAACATGTTAAGTTTACACACTACACGGTAAAATAAAAACAATAATAGCGTGCGCGTAACGCGCGCCTGTGTTGTGCTAGTAAAACAAAAAAATAGAATAATATTTCTGTGACAATGTGTTGCACCGAGAGTTGCTCAAGTTTTCGCAGACGAAAATCAACAACATAATCCGCAAGTAACGTGTAGGAATATTCAAACATCTAAATGTATTTGCACGCGTTGAGGAGAGACCGGAGTGTAGGTAATCTCGTTAATCTTTTACTGCCCCCGCCGACTTGCATGACTTGTGCGACCGCATCTTACGTGCAACTTGTCGCAGCGCCACGAATCACTCTATACAGGGTCAAAAGGTACAAGCAAGTTCATACAAGCGGGGCAGGGATGGTGGCAGGTAAAGTTGGCGAAGTTTAACTTCGGAGAGGATGGAAACACTTCGTCTATGTGACTTTAGGAACGATATGAGAAGGAAGAAAATGCAAGAGTGAGAGAGAGAAAAGTATTTGACAATGTACTGTGCTACATTACGCACTCGACTGCAAGGACTTGTTTACATACGCTGCGGTACGATACGACTGGGACGGAAAAACGACTGAGCGGAAAAACGATTGAGCAGCAGAAAATTAAGAAAAATATGAGATATCCTTATACGAAAAAGATTTCTGCCATTGCATGTGGGGGAATGCGGTATAAATCATCCCTTTTTACTCTCTCGTGCTTTTATCTGGAACGCCACGGCATCTAATATGTTTAATGCGCATTACGATGCCATTCAATATACCATAATGTAGTCCACGTAATATACCGC